CACACACACACACACACACACACACACACACAAATAAATAAATAAATAAATAAATAAATAAATGTTTAAAAAAAAAAAGCCAGGACTGTGGATGGGGGCTAAAGTGAGAGGTGAAGGGCACTGAAGATGACCATGCGAGTTCCTTACGGGGAGAGGCAAGAGTACGTTCAAATATGAAGCAGGCACTCAGTGAATGGGAGCTGTTCTTAGAAAAGGGAACAGGAACTGGGCCAACTTAGGAGTACCAGGTGGGACCGGAATCAGATCCTGTGGGTGCCAAGGGCACACGGTGCATGCGCGCGCGCGTGTGTGTGTGTGCATGTGCGTGTGTACAGCCTACCCCAGTACACTGCCTGCTGCAAACTCCACCTCTCCTAACCTCATCCTGCAGGAAACCTGGGCCTCTTCCGTGCTATGCCCATGTGACTGGGCCTGTGGGCACAGCTCCATGAGTGGTGAGTCTGTGGGTTTTGGTGGGAAGATTTATGTATGTTTACAATACACAATAGCTGCATTCATCCTGGGAACCGGCACATACCCTTAATTGTTTTTACCCCCCCCTTTCTCTCACTCATCCCATCTTAAGATCCCTTCCTGTCTCTACATGCTACCTCCCTTTTTCTTGTCATTCTTTTATGTTTTGCTGTCTATATGCTGTGTTTTTCATAGGAGAGAAACCAGGCATTATTAAGCTTCTGTGTGTGACTTCACCTAGCACTATGGTCCAAGACCATCCATTTTCCTACAAATGACTCCACTTTACCCTTCATGGCTGAGCAGTACTCCACTGTGTATAAATGTCACATTTTCTTTATCCACTCATCCACTGACACAGAGATTTAACTCTCATGAGTTATGCTTCTCTAAACGTGGGTCTGCATGTACCACTGTGATATGATGTCTCTAACTCTTTGGGAAGATAGCTGACAGGGACAAGAGCTCGGGCAAATGGGATTCCTAGTTCTAGTTTTCTGGAATTGCTACACAAACAGCACACGGCAGAGCATGTGCCACAGGTTTGCCACCACTGGTCTGGTGTTTATAGGGGACCACATCAGCACCACCTCACAGTACCCTCAAGGCAGTCTGAGCACATGCACGCTGTGAGTGTTGTGGGAGGAACGTGAGTTCCTTTCAGCTGAGTCTATGAAGCAGCCTAAGCAGAAGCAGACCACCCTTTGGGCAATGTTTCCACCTTGTGATGGTCTACTTGGCCCAATCCTCCTGCCCCAGCCAGCAGGAATATTCTCTCTCACTTCCCCAGGAGTCTCTGCTCTGCTACTTCCTTCCTATGGGACCTCTGGCAAGTCATTTCATCTCCCCTTCCTGACCTATAAGAGAGGCTGGTGACACCTGCACAGGGCCCCAGTGCAGTTAGGTGGCATATGGGAATGTTTGGCCAACATAAAGCTTCCACTGTGCCAGCCCTGGCTCTCCCCTGGTGAGGGAAGGTCTTCAGGCATTTCCTGACCCACCAGCACCCTTGGGACTCCCTCCAACCTAGCTGCAGTGAGAATCAGAAAATGCTCCTCCCACTGGAGGAACAAGCTGGCCAAGCACTCAGACCTCTCTGCATGGCCTGTTTCTCTCGTTATCAGGCAAAGTAAGGAAACATCTGAGCTCCTACATAAGGAAATACTAAGTGAAAGAAATGTGTGGCACAGAGTTCTGGGAAAGAAGGACAAACACTAGGAGGCCACAGAGGTGGGGAGGCCAGGCAGCCAGGCCCCCCACAGCAAGGACCGTGGTGCCCCTTCAAGTTCCACCATGAGCAGTGAGCGCCGGAAGGCCCCTGCTCTGACCTGGCCTCCGTCACGAGGGCGTCATGTCCTTGCAGAGCACTGCTCTGCCCTCCAGTCTCCTTGAACGTCAGGCACCTGGAGGAAAAGCTGGGCATTTCAAGAATTCCGAGTCAGAGGGAATAAAGAGTAGAGGAAGGCCTGCATACAGACAAGGCCTGCTAGCACAGTGGAGGCGTTATGTTGGCCAAACATTCCTATGTGCCACTAACTGCATTGGGCCCCTGTGCAGGTGTCACAGGTAGCTTTGGTAGAGGGGGACAGAAAGTTTACCAGCGTCGATGGGGTGGACACAGAAGCCTTGAGAGAGTGCCTGGCAGCATGCCTAGTTAGGGCAGCTGTGCATGCTGCTCAGAGTCAGGCAGTGAACAGCTACACAGGAGGCACGTGCCACCTGCTGCCAGGCGCAAAGGGCCCAGGACAGAGCCTGCTCTGGCTCTGCGGGGCCCTGTGCTATGAGGACCTTGGCAGCAGCTAGGAAAAGAGAAGCCCCTCTCTGCCTATGTAGGCTGAGGTCAGGGGGCTTGTGGCAGAGCAAGGGTCTGCTACAGTGAGAAGCAGCCGGCTGAACAGCGCAGGAAAGAAGAACAAGATGGGCGTGCAGGTACTATGTCCCATCAAGACTTCTTGAGAACCAGCAGCACTTTAGTTCAGCTGGATAAGCGGGGAGGAAGTCAGCACTGATGCTGGGCAGGGGGACAGGGTGTGATGCAAGGACAGACCCACACCTGGGTAAGGCATTTGGGCCATGCCACAAGGGCAGGCTGTCAGATCCTCAAACAGGAAGGCTTGGGCGGGGTTCTGGGAGCAAGTGTCAGAGGCTCATTCTCTCTCAGAATAAAAATGGCCATGATGGGGCCGGGGAGACAGCTCAGTTGAATAAGCACTTGCCAGGCCTGAGTTCAATCCCCAACTCCACAAAAAAAAAAAAAAAAAAAAAAAAAAAAAAAAAAAGGCCATGCTAACCATGGTCATTTGATGGGCGACCCTGAGCAAGCCAACTCAGTCTGCCTATCTAGAACCTAGAAGGATTGAGCCCCTGCCCCTCCCCAAAGTCTACTCTGTTATGCCACCACGGGTAACTAACTTCTGTGCAGCAAGAACCAAGAACTCTAGAATGTGTAGAATGGGGGACAAAGCTGTGGCTCTTCAAAGATGCTCCAGGAGGATAGAGAGCCTGAAGCTGCAATGCACTGTGGGAAATACTGTGACAGTCACAGCCTCCACGGTGCTTGGAAAGCCAGGCAGGGTTAGAAAAGATTTCCCTTGGGGGCTGGTGAGATGGTTCAGTGGTCTAAAGCACCTACTTAGACCAAGCTTTAGCGAAAGCACAGGGACCGCGGTTCAATCCCCCAGCACCACATGCCAGCCAACCCTGCCCCCTGGTGGGCTGAGCTGGCCACACACACACACACACACACACACACACACACACACA